GTGACCATGTGCAGTTGCAGACACAGGATGTGAGCTGATAGGAAACACATGCTGGTCTCGGCCCCTGGCCCCGGCCCAGGGCTCATGAAGCCTTTGTCACTCCCTGGGGTACCTGAGGGCCTTTTGCTGATGAGGGGACACTCGGTGGGCTCCAGGGATTGGCACCCTAAGTGCAGGCAGCCCTCACCTCGGGCTCTGAGGTTTTGCTATCACTTCCTCGTCTTCTGAGACACTGTGCATGACTAAAGCTGCTCCCACTGCCATGGTGTGTAGCACAGTAATAGTCAGCCTCATCCTCAGGCTGCAGCCCCGAGATGAGCAGGAGCCCCGCATTGGCAGAGGCGTCTTTGGATCCAGAGAAGCGGCTGGGGACTCCGGAGCCCTGGTACTTATCTGAGTCTGATTTAAAATTCAGGAGAAACCTGGGAGGGCTCCCTGGCTTCTGCTGGTACCAGGATATCCAGTAACCACTAATATCAGAAACACCACTCAGGGTGCAGGTGAGTCTGGCTGTGGCTCCCAGAGATGCAGAGAGGGAGGGCGGTTGAGTCACAGCAAACTGGGAGAGGGACCCTGCAGACACAAACACTTGTCAGTGATGGGCAGGGACCAGGGGACGGTTCCCAGGAGACTGAGCAGGAAGGGAAGAAGCCTGGTCCCAGGCCTGTCCCTACCTGTGCAGTGAGAGAGGAGCGCGAGGAGCAGAGGAGTCCAGGCCATGGTGCTCACAGCCCTGAGCCCACAGTGGGGCTGGGCTGCCCAGGCCTCCTTTTCTCCCCCACCCTCTGCCAGAGGAGGGGCTGCCATGCAAATGGGGGTCCCTCCAGGGACTTCCCAGCCCCTCCCTGGGCCCTGGGGCTAGAGCTCAGCTCACACCCAGACTGAGGGGCCTGGAGGTGGGCTCACCCCTTGGGGGCCCTGGGAGGAAGCACCTGCTGAGACAGCACATCACTGAGCACAGGGCCCAGCTACAGGCCCAGGCTCCTATTAGTTCCTTAATGTGCAGCTGCATTGGGACCACAGGGCGGTCCCACAGCGCCCCCTGCTGGTGGCAGCACACACCTGCCCTTGACCCAAAGCCCTGAGAGCCCAGCTGCACCTGCAGCTCAGAGGGGACTGTCTCTGGCCTCACATCCTGGCCTGGTCCCAGGTCCTGTGACTCTGATGCACTGGAGCCTCCCTGCAGCGCCTCACTCCCAGGAGGAGTCCCGTCTGCGGGAGGAGCCATCATGGACACAAAGGACAGAGTGATTAGGTTTCCCCTCCAGTGAAGATGGTGCAACAGTCAGTGCACAGTGACCCTCATGTCCGACGTCACAGACCAGGGACACCTTCCTCTGGTTACTGGGACTCACAGGGCTGTTCAGGGAATTTCCCGGGAACACACTCAGGGCCAAGTTCAAAGGAGGACTTTCCTCCAGACCTTTCACATCATGAGATCCATGTGCAGGTTCACAGAGATCTGATGCGATGGACTCAGACACATCATGGCTTCTGCAGGCCTCACAAGTGGCCAGTGGAAGGTGTCACAGCTCCTTCATTTCAGGAACTGACTTTTTATCTGCATTTCTGTGTTCTGTGTTTCTTATAGGATTTTCTTAGTTGTCTTAAAAAAAATTTATATTTAAATAAATCTTTACCTACTGTACTTTCTGAAATATTGTCCTATTTATTGACAAATGTGAAATTGTGCTGTGTGTGTTGACTCAGTGAAATTCTGGGCAGTTGACCACAGAAACCATCAAATCCTCACTGAATGGAAACCACAATAGGAACTTGTCACTTTTCTTTTAATCACTCACATGAGGATGAACCCTGACCTCGGACCTGAGGAGCCCGAGGGAGAGGAGGAGGTGAGGGAGGCAGCAGCAGAGGAGGGAAGAGGAGGAGGGAGGGTGTCACTGAGAGTCTGTGCTGGTTGTGACCAACCTTCTGTGGGTTTGATCAGAGAAGGAGAAGGTTGTGCCCATGACCAGGGTGGACACTAACATATCAGACATGATGGGTCAGTAGTGACACAGGGTTCACACACATGACATTAATGTGTGGGGAGCATGGCTGTCTGGGTGACCATGTGCAGTTGCAGACACAGGATGTGAGCTGATAGGAAACATCCCTGGTCTTGGCCCCTGGCCCCGGCCCAGGGCTCATGAAGCCTTTGTCACTCCCTGGGGTACCAGAGGGCCTTTTGCTGATGAGAGGACACTCGGTGGGCTCCAGGGATTGGCACCCTAAGTGCAGGCAGCCCTCACCTCGGGCTCTGAGGTTTTGCTATCACTTCCTCGTCTTCTGAGACACTGTGCATGACTAAAGCTGCTCCCACTGCCATGGTGTGTAGCACAGTAATAGTCAGCCTCATCCTCAGGCTGCAGCCCCGAGATGAGCAGGAGCCCCGCATTGGCAGAGGCGTCTTTGGATCCAGAGAAGCGGCTGGGGACTCCGGAGCCCTGGTACTTATCTGAGTCTGATTTAAAATTCAGGAGAAACCTGGGAGGGCTCCCTGGCTTCTGCTGGTACCAGGATATCCAGTAACCACTAATATCAGAAACACCACTCAGGGTGCAGGTGAGTCTGGCTGTGGCTCCCAGAGATGCAGAGAGGGAGGGCGGTTGAGTCACAGCAAACTGGGAGAGGGACCCTGCAGACACAAACACTTGTCAGTGATGGGCAGGGACCAGGGGACGGTTCCCAGGAGACTGAGCAGGAAGGGAAGAAGCCTGGTCCCAGGCCTGTCCCTACCTGTGCAGTGAGAGAGGAGCACGAGGAGCAGAGGAGTCCAGGCCATGGTGCTCACAGCCCTGAGCCCACAGTGGGGCTGGGCTGCCCAGGCCTCCTTTTCTCCCCACCCTCTGCCAGAGGAGGGGCTGCCATGCAAATGAGAGCCCCTTCAGGAACTGCCCAGCCCCTCCCTGGGCCCTGGGGCTGGAGCTCAGCTCACACCCCAGACTGAGGGGCAAGGAGGTGGGCTCACCCCTGGGGGCCCTGGGAGGAAGCACCTGCTGAGACAGCACATCACTGAGCACAGGGCCCAGCCACAGGCCCAGGCTCCTATTAGTTCCTGAATGTGCAGCTGCATTGGGACCACAGGCCGGTCTCTCGGCGCCCCCTGTTGGTGGCAGCACACACCTGCCCTTGGCCCAAAGCCCTGAGAGCCCAGCTGCACCTGCAGCTCAGAGGGGACTGTCTCTGGCCACACATCCTGTCCTGGTCCCAGGTCCTGTGATTCTGATGCACTGGAGCCTCCCTGCAGCGCCTCACTCCCAGGAGGAGTCCCGTCTGTGGGAGGAGCCATCATGGACACAAAGGACAGATTGATTAGGTTTCCCCTCCAGTGAAGATGGTGCAACAGTCAGTGCACAGTGACCCTCATGTCCGACGTCACAGCCCAGGGACACCTTCCTCTGGTTACTGGGACTCACAGGGCTGCTCAGGGAATTTCCCGGGAACACACTCAGGGCCAAGTTCAAAGCAGGACTTTCCACCAGACCTTTCATGTCATGAGATGCATGTGCAGGTTCAGGGAGATCTGATGTGATGGACTCAGACACATCATGGCTTTTGCAGGCCTCACATTGTTCAGTGAAAGGTGTCACAGCTCCTTCATTCCAGGAATTGACTTTTTATCACGTGTGTGGTGATCTGCATATCTGTGTCCTGTGTTTCCTGTTAGGATTTTCTCAGGTGTCCTAACTTTTTTTCATATTTTAAATAAAACTTTACTACTGTACTTTCTCACTCATTGTCCTATTTTTCTGAGAAATGTGAGAATGTGCTGTGTGTGCAGACTTAGTGAACGTCTGGACAGTTGAACGCAGAAACCACCACATCCTCACTGAATGGAAACTACAGCAAGAATTGTCACTTTTCCCTCAAACCTGCCTTTGAGGATGGAGTTAGACCTAAGGAGCCAGAGGGAGAGGCAGCAGCAGAGGAGTTAAGAGGAAGGGTGAGGGGTGTGCTGTCATTGAGAGTCTGTACGGGTTGTGAACAACTTTAAGTAGGTTTGTTCAGAGTAGAAAATGGTGTCTGTGACCAGCATGAATATTAACATCCTATATAATAAAAGCCTAATAAGCTAAGTGCCCAGTCATCCAGGCAGCCATTCAACAAAAGTGTAATATCCTTATGATATGCTCGGGGCCCTCAACCACTCGCTATGACACACACTGACCCCTAGGGGGCAGACGCTCAATGCAGATTTGCCCCCTGGTGGTTGTGAGCTCCCACAGTGGGAGCGTGGCTCAGCCAGAAGCCAGGCTCAGGGGAGCAGGCCTAAGCCGTCAGTAGAACATTCCCTGAGTGCTCCCGGACTGTGAGAGGGGACAAGCTGGGCTGAGGGACACCCCTCCAGTGCATGATTTTCATCCACCAGGCCTCTAGTTTTAAATAGAACTGTACCTACTGTACTTTCTGACTCATTATCCTATTTTAGTGACAAATGTGAGATTGTGATGTGTGTGCAGATGTGGTGGACGTCCATGCAGTTGAATGCAGAAACCCTCACATCCTCACTGAATGGACACCACAGCAGGAACTTGTCCCTTTGCCATGAAACCCTCACATGAGGATGGAGTGAAGAGCTGAGGAGTCGAGGGAGAGGAGGGGGTGAGGGAGGCAGCAGCAGAGGAGGGAAGAGGAGGAGGGAGGGTGTCCCTGAGAGTCTGAGCTGTTTGTGACCAACCTTCTGTGGTTTGTTCAGGGAAGGAAATGGTTGTGTCCATGACCAGGGTGAACACTAACATCTCAGACATGATGGGTCAGTGGTGACACAGGGTTCACACACATGACATTAATCTGTGGGGGAGCATGACTATCTGGGTGACCATGTGTACTTGCAGACACAGCATGTGAGCTGATAGGAAACACACGCTGGTCTCGTCCCTGTTCCCGGCACAGGCTTCTGAAGCCATTGTCATTCCCTGGGGGACGGGCGGACCTTTTGCTCTGAAGGGTTTACTCTGCATGGGCTCCTGGGATTGACACCCAAGGGCAGACCGTCATCACCTCTGTGCCAGGGGTTTTGGTCTCACTTCCTCATCATCTGAATCACTGTGAGCACCGCTATCATATGTAGCACAGTAATAGTCAGCCTCGTCCTCAGGCTGCAGCCCCGAGATGGTCAGGAGCCCCGCATTGGTCGAGGCGTCTTTGGATCCAGAGAAGCGGCTGGGGACCCCGGAGCCCTGATCCTTATTTGAGTCTGAGTAGTAGGACAGTAGGTACCGGGGACGGCTCCCTGGCTTCTGCTGGTACCAGGATATCCAGTAGCTGCCAACATTGAAGCCACTGCTGAGGGTGCAGGTGAGTCTGGCTGTGGCTCCCAGAGATGCAGAGAGGGAGGGCGGCTGAGTCAGCACAGGCTGCTGGGAGAGGGACCCTGCAGACACAGACACTTGTCAGTGATGGGCAGGGACCAGGGGACGTTTCCCAGGAGACTGAGCAGGAAGGGAAGAAGCCTGGTCCCAGGCCTGTCCCTACCTGTGCAGTGAGAGAGGAGCGCGAGGAGCAGAGGAGTCCAGGCCATGGTGCTCACAGCCCTGAGCCCACAGTGGGGCTGGGCTGCCCAGGCCTCCTTTTCTCGCCCACCCTCTGCCAGGGGAGGGGCTGCCATGCAAATGAGAGTCCCTCCAGGGACTGCCCAGCCCCTCCCTGGGCCCTGGGGCTGGAGCTCAGCTCCCATAGGAGACTGAGGAGCACGGATGTGGGTTCACCCCTTGGGGGGCCCTGGGAGGAAGCACCTGCTGAGACAGCACATCACTGAGCACAGGGCCCAGCCACAGGCCCAGGCTCCTATTAGTTAAGGTCCTTAATGTGCAGCTGCACTGGGACCACTGGGCGGTCTCACAGCGCCCCCTGCTGGTGGCAGCACACACCTGCCCTTGGCCCAAAGCCCTGAGAGCCCAGCTGCACCTGCAGCTCAGAGGGGACTGTCTCTGGCCTCACATCCTGGCCTGGTCCCAGGTCCTGTGACTCTGATGCACTGGAGCCTCCCTGCAGCGCCTCACTCCCAGGAGGAGTCCCGTCTGTGGGAGGAGCCATCATGGACACAAAGGACAGATTGATTAGGTCTCCCCTCCAGTGAAGATGGTGCAAAAGTCAGTGCACAGTGACCCTCATGTCCGACATCACAGACCAGGGACACCTTCCTCTGGTTACTGGGACTCACAGGGCTGTGCCCAAGGAGGGCGCCCTGGCTCCGCCCTCATTGTTGGCTCCTCACCCGCCTGCCCCACCCTGTCTGCTCTTGGGACCCCACAAACATGGGGACTCACAGGTGGGAGACCTGGTCATGGATTCATTCATCCTTTATCTCATGTGTGACCTCCTCCTGAGAGAATAAAGGAGGATGGAGCGGGTTCATGGATGGGCATTGGGTAAGTTTTAACTATTAACTGTGCTCATAGTTTGGCCAGAAATGGCGCCACACTCTGGATGAGAGGAGATTGCACGTGACTGGGTCACAGCGCTCTGACCTCAGGTGAGTTTGTGTCACTGTTTGGTCTGAAAGATGGGAACACAGAGGCACAGGGAGATGCCACAGCTAGTCTCCATCCAGCTGATGGGCATGAACAGGCATGAAGGTTAAAGGCTGCCTAATAGCCAAAACCGGTTTGGCTCAGTGGATAGAGCGTCGGCCTGCGGACTGAAGGGTTCCAGGTTCGATTCTGGTCAAGGGCATGTACCTGGGTTAAGGGCACATCCCCAGTGGGAGATGTGCAGGAGGCAGCTGATTGATGTTTCTAACTCTCTATCTCACTTCCTCTCTGTAAAAAATCAATAAAATATAAATAAATAAATAAGTAAATAAATAAATAAAGGCTGCCTAATAGCTGAGAACAGGTGCTTTTAACAAAGTGGTTCTCACACTGGGGTGATTTGGCACCCTCAGGGGCTATTTGGAAACGTCAGGAGTTGTTTTTATGGGTCAGAACCTAGAGAAGAGGAGCTACTGCATCTTCTGGGTGGAGCCCACAGGAAGCTTCCAGATGCCCCGCACACGCACAGCAGCCCCCTCCACAGGCCTCACCCCCACCCCATTGTCAGACGTGCGGAGGCTCAGAAACCCTGTTCTGAACTAGTCCGCCCCCAGCGAGTGACTGCACAGCACACAGGGCGCCATCCATCAAGAGAAGGGGGGATCTGAGTGACAGAGAGGGGCTCAGAGCCTGCCATCTCAACACAGACTTTCCAGCAGGAGGCAGCAGAGAGCACCCCCTGGTGGGGCAGGTGAAGGCAGCCCCAGGACCCAGGCTCTGGGGAGTTTTTGTCTCACTTCCCCGTGAGCCTGGAGCTCTGTGTGCTTATAGCCACCACCATAGGACTGACAGTAGTAGTCGGCCTCGTCCTCGGGCTGCAGCCCCGAGATGGTCAGGTGGGCGGCGTTGGAGGAGCTGTCGATGGAGCCAGAGAACCGATCGGGGACCCCCGAGGGTCTGTCATCATCTTCGTAGATCACCAAGGTGGGCGCCCTGCCCGGGCGCTGCTGGTACCAGGACACATAGTAGCCTCCAATGTTGCCGCTGCTGCGGGTGCAGGAGATGACGGCCTTCTGTCCCGGAGACCCCGACACAGACGGGGGCTGAGTCAGCACAAACTGGGCCCAGGACCCTGCAAGGAGGGGGCGACACAGACATCAGAGGGGACAGCACAGACCCCTGGCCCAGGGAGGGAGGGGGAGGTCATGCTCCCGGGTGACAGTCAGGTGCCCCCCCAGACCCCTCTCAGGCAGCACCTGTGCCGTGAGCCAGGAGGGCGAGGAGAAGGGGAGCCCAATCCATGGTGCACAGGCCCCCACACTCTGCTTCCTGAGCCGCACAGCCAGGCTGAGCCCTCACCTTCTTATGAGCCCTGACCCCCAGGTGGAGGCTCCATGCAAATCTCCCCCTGTCTGCAGGCTGCACAGCTCCTCCTTCACACTTGGCCTTGGTCCCACCAGAGAGAAAAGCCTGAGATGGGGCCTTATTCCCACAGAAGACCTGCCTGAGGCTGGGGGCGGGGCGGGGAGGGGGCACAGCAGAGCAACTGGGGAGCAGGCAGCAGGGGCTTCTACCACAGCGCCCCCTGGGGGACACAGGGCGCAAGTCAGCCCTTGGGGAGTGAAAGTGAAGCATGAGGAGGAGAGGGTGCTGGACAGGCGCACACACTGGGCAGGGAGTGGACTGGGCAGCCCTGCACCCCACTGGCAGCCTTGCCCAGGAAAGGGCTGGGCGTGGAGGTCTGGCCCCACTTCCTTCTGGCCGCCCCTCTCCCTGCGCAGTAATAAGGCCCTGGGCTCCCTCTGTGGTTGGAGGAGGCGGACAGCTGGTCCCGCTGTCCCCTGGGAGCAGCCAGGGAGAGGCCGCTGCTGGGCAGCCCCTGTCGGGAGGTGGGAGCAGGAGCTTCTGCTCAGAAGCCTCTGGGCCCCCATGTCCCTCTGTGAGCACAGAGCTCAGTCAGGGCTGGGCAGTGCCTGACCTTCCCGCACGGGGCCTCCCTCAGCCCCTAGATGGCCCCGTGGCTCCTGCCCCTCCTGCCCCTCCTGCCGAGGTCACGGTCTGGCCTGTCCCATGGCTCTGACTTCCTGTCCTCTGCCCTGGCCGCTGGCTGATCACAGGGATTTAAAAGCCTGTGTGGCCAGAGCTGCCACCACTTCCAATGGGACTCAGATTTGTGGTGTCTTTTTATCCTCACCCGAGGGTATGTTCCCATTGATGTTTAGGGAGAGTGGATGGGAGAGGGAGGGACAGAGAGAAACATCGATGTGAGAGAGACACTTGTATTGGTTGCCTCCTGCATGTGCCCTGACCAGGACCCGGGCTAAAGTGGAGCCTGAAACCGAGATACATGCCCTTGACTGGAATCGAACCCAGGTCCCTTCGGCCTGCAGTCCTATACTCTATCCACTGAGCAACACCAGCTAGGGGCACATGTGGCTAATATTAATATAGTCAGTGTGCTGTAGACACTGATACCTTATAGGGGAATAACTCAGTAAATAAATAAGAAGCAAACGGAACGATGCTGGAGAAGTGAGCTGTTGCCTGAGAAACCCTCCATTCAGGATGGACAGGGAGTTAAAAGAGCAGATTATTCCAGGCAACGTTGCTTCTTTTATTTTTATTTTCACCTTAAATATTTCTTAATTTTTCAATTACAGCAGAAACATGTCACTCTTCTCTGAAACACTCACGTGACAATGGAGTTAAGAGCTGAGGAGCCCGAGGGAGAGGAGGAGGTGAGGGAGGCAGCAGCAGAGGAGGGAAGAGGAGGAGGGAGGGTGTCACTGAGAGTCTGAGCTGTTTGTGACCAACCTTCTGTGGTTTGTTCAGAGAAGGAGAAGGTTGTGTGTATGACCAAAGTGAACACTAACATATCAGACATGATGGGTCAGTAGTGACACAGGGTTCACACACATGACATTAATCTGAGGGGGACCATAGGTGTCTGGTAGACCATGTGCAGGTGCACACACAGGATTTGAGATGATAGGAAACATAGGCTGGTCTCCGTCCGTGACTTCGGCCCAGGGTTCCTGAACCCTTGTCACTCCTTGAGGGACGGGCAGACTTTTGCTCTGAAGAGTAGACTCTGCCTGGGCTCCTGTGATTGACACCCATGGGCAGTCATCACCTCTGGGCCCACGGGTTTTGGTCTCACTTCCTCGTCATCTGAGACACTGTGAGTAATGAAAGCTGCTCCCACTGCCATGATATGTAGCACAGTAATAGTCAGCCTCGTCCTCAGGCTGCAGCCCCGAGATGGTCAGGAGCCCTGCATTGGCCGAGGCGTCTTTGGATCCAGAGAAGCGGCTGGGGACTCCGGAGCCCTGGTGCTTATCTGAGTCTGATTTATATTCCAGGAGGTACCGGGGAGGGCTCCCTGGCTTCTGCTGGAACCAGCGTATCTTGTAATCACCAACACTGAAGCCACTGCTCAGGGTGCAGGTGAGTCTGGCTGTGGCTCCCAGAGATGCAGAGAGGGAGGGAGGCTGAGTCAGCACAGGCTGGGAGAGGGACCCTGCAGACACAGACACTTGTCAGTGATGGGCAGGGAACAGGGAACCTTTCCCAGGAGCCTGAGCAGGAAGGGAAGGAGCCTCGTCCCAGGCCTGTCCCTACCTGTGCAGTGAGAGAGGAGCGCGAGGAGCAGAGGAGTCCAGGCCATGGTGCTCACAGCCCTGAGCCCACAGTTGGGCTGGGCTGCCCAGGCCTCCTTTTCTCCCCCACCCTCTGCCAGAGGAGGGGCTGCCATGCAAATGGGGGTCCCTCCAGGGACTGCCCAGCCCCTCCCTGAGCCCTGGGGCTGGAGCTCAGCTCACACCCCAGACTGAGGAGCACGAAGATGGGCTCACCCCCTGGGGGCCCTGGGAGGAAGCACCTGCTGAGACTGCACATCACTGAGCACAGGGCCCAGCCACAGGCCCAGACTCCTATTAGTTAAGGTCCTTAATGTGCAGCTGCATTGGGACCACAGAGCGATCTCACAGCGCCCCCTGCTGGTGGCAGCACACACCTGCCTTGGCCCAAAGCCCTGAGAGCCCAGCTGCACCTGCAGCTCAGAAGGGACTGTCTCTGGCCACACCTCCTGGCCTGGTCCCAGGTCCTGTGACTCTGATGCACTGGAGCCTCCCTGCAGCGCCTCACTCCCAGGAGGAGTCCCGTCTGTGGGAGGAGCCATCATGGACACAAAGGACAGATTAATTAGGTTTCCCCTCCAGTGAAGATGGTGCAAAAGTAAGTTCACGTGAGCTGCAGAGGAAACACCTTTTTTAACCGCTCATAGGCTAAGCTCCCCGTTCACCACTCGCAGTGTTCTTGGTACCTCTGGTAATAAGAATCCAAGAAGGTGATCTAGGGTTTTTCCACCCCACTCCTCTAGGAAAAAACGAAGGTCCGCTACTTGAGGAGCTAATAAATGTCATATCCTGCCCTAGCCAGTATGGCTCAGTGGATAGAGCCTCGACCTGTGGACCGCAGGGTCCAGATTTGATTCTGATAAAGGGCATGTGCCTAGGTTGCAGGCTCCTCCCTGCCCGGGGCCCAGGTCAGGGTTCATATAGGAGGCAACCAATCGAAGTGTCCCTCTCACATTGATGTTTTTCTCTGTCTTTCCTTCTCTCTTCCATGATCTCTAAATATCAATGGAAAAGTATCCTCAGGTGAGGATTAAAAAAAAAACAGAAGGAAAGAAATGTTATATCCTATGAAAGACACATCTTGAAAATGCCCAAAGAAAGTTGCCATTTTTTCATGATGAAGGGACTAGAGTCCGTGTTGATGAAAACACCTTGGCTGCTGTGGCGGCTGGCAGTGGCAGCAGCAGTGGGATGAATGAGGTGGTTCATTCCCCTGATCAGCAAGTCACCTCCCGCAAAGGGAGGCCAGACTGTGGCCTAGGCCTGCTCCCCGTGGGGAGCGGGTCTAAGCTGTCAGTAGGACATTCCCTGAGGGCTCCCAGACTGTGAGAGGGGACAGGCTGGGCTGAGGGACCCTCCTCCAGTGCACAAATTTCGTGCTCCAGGCCTCTAGATTTAAATAAAACTGTACCTACTGTACTTTCTGACTCATTGTCCTATTTTAGTGACAAATGTGATGTGTGTGCAGATGTGGTGAATGTCTGTGCTGTAAAACAAAGAAACCATCACATCCTCAGTGAATGGTAACCACAGCAGGAACTTGTCACTTTGCCATGAAACCCTCACGTGAGCATGGAGTTAAGAGCTGAGGATCCCGAGGGAGAGGAGGAGGTGAGGGAGGGAGCAGCAGAGGAGGGAAGAGGGGGAGGGAGGGTGTCACTGAGAGTCTGTGCTGGTTGTGACTAACCTTCTGTGGGTTTGATCAGAGAAGGAGAAGGTTGTGCCCATGACCAGGGTGGACACTAACATATCAGACATGACGGGTCAGTAGTGACACAGGTTCACACACATGACATTAATGTGGGGAGCATGACTGTCTGGGTGACCATGTGCAGGTGCAGACACAGGATGTGAGCTGATAGGAAACATACGCTGGTCTCGGCCCTTGGCCCCGGCACAGGCTCCTGAACCCTTGTCACTCCCTGGGGACGGGCCGGCCTTTTGCTGATGAGGGGACGCTGGGTGGGCTCCTGGGATTAAAATCTAAGAACAGACAGTCATCACTTCTGGTCCCAGGGGTTTTGGTCTCACTTCCTCATCATCTGAATCACTGTGACCATTGCTATGATATGAAGCGCAGTAATAGTCAGCCTCGTCCTCAGGCTGCAGCCCCGAGATGAGCAGGAGCCCCGCATTGGCCGAGGTGTCTTTGGATCCAGAGAAGCGGCTGGGCACCCCGGATCCTTGGCCCTTATCTGAGTCTGAGTAGTAGTTCAGGAGGTACCGGGGAGGGCTCCCTGGCTTCTGCTGGTGCCAGGTTATCCTGTATATACCAACATTGAAGCCACTGCTCAGGGTGCAGGTGACTCTGGCTGTGGCTCCCAGAGATGCAGAGAGGGAGGGAGGCTGAGTCAGCACAGGCTGGGAGAGGGACCCTGCAGACACAGACACTTGTCAGTGATGGGCAGGGACCAGGGGACGGTTCCCAGGAGACTGAGCAGGAAGGGAAGAAGCCTGGTCCCAGGCCTGTCCCTACCTGTGCAGTGAGAGAGGAGCGCGAGGAGCAGAGGAGTCCAGGCCATGGTGCTCACAGCCCTGAGCCCACAGTGGGGCTGGGCTGCCCAGGCCTCCTTTTCTCCCCACCCTCTGCCAGAGGAGGGGCTGCCATGCAAATGAGGGTCCCTCCAGGGACTGCCCAGCCCCTCCCTGGGCCCTGGGGCTGGAGCTCAGCTCACACCCCAGACTGAGGGGCATGGAGGTGGGCTCACCCCTTGGGGGCCCTGGGAGGAAGCACCTGCTGAGACAGCACATCACTGAGCACAGGGCCCAGCCACAGGCCTAGTCTCCTGGGATGGATGTGCCCCTATGAGCAGCTGCATTTGGACCACAGGGCGGTTCCACAGCGCCCCCTGCTGGTGGCAGCACACACCTGCCCTTGGCCAGAGCCCTGAGAGCCCAGCTGGACCTGCAGCTCAGAGAGGACTGTCTCTGGCCACACATCCTGGCCTGGTCCCAGGTCCTGTGACTCTGATGCACTGGAGCCTCCCTGCAGCGCCTCACTCCCAGGAGGAGTCCCGTCTGCGGGAGGAGCCATCATGGACACACAGGACAGAGTGATTAGGTTTCCCCTCCAGTGAAGATGGTGCAAAAGTCAGTGCACAGTGACCCTCATGTCCGACGTCACAGCCCAGGGACACCTTCCTCTGGTTACTGGGACTCACAGGGCTGTTCAGGGAATTTCCCGGGAACACACTCAGGGGCAAGTTCAAAGGAGGACTTTCCACCAGACCTTTCAGGTCATGAGATGCATGTGCAGGTTAGTAGGGATCTGATGCGATGGACTCAGACACATCATGGATTCTGCAGGCCTCACATTGGCCAGTGGAAGGTGTCACAGCTCCTTCATTTCAGGAACTGACTTTCTATCATGTGTGTGGTGATCTGCATTTCTGTGTCCTGTGTTTCTAGTTAGGATTTTCTTGTTTATCCTAAAATTTCTTTATATCTGTATATATAAAATGGTAATATGCTAATTAGCCTGGATGCCATAACAGTCAGGACAGGTCAGGAGAACGCTGCTCGCTCAGGTGAGGCCAGGAGTGGACACTGACATGGGCCTGGGGCTGCTCCAGCCGTGGTACACCAGCAGTCCCACCTCTGCGCATTAGTTGCAGAGGAAACACCTTTTTTGACCGCTCATTGGCTAAGCTCCCCGAACACCACTCGCAGTTCTTGGTAACTTGGGTGATAACAATCCCGGAAGGTCATCTAGGACTTTTCCACCTCAGACCTGAAGGAAAAAACAAAGATCCGCTGCTGGAGGGGCTAAGAAATGTCATATCCTGCCCTGGCCAGTTTGGCTCAGTGGAAAGAGCCTCGGCCTGTGGACCGCAGGGTCCTGGTTCGATTCTGATAAAGGGCATGTGCCTAGTTGCAGGCTCTGCCCCGGCCAAGGCTCAGGTCAGGGCTCATGCAGGAGGCAACCAATGGGAGTGTCCCTCTCACAGTGATGTGTTTCTCTGTCTTTCCCATTCTCTTCCATGCTCCCTAAAAATCAATGGGAAAATATCCTCAGGTGAGGATTAAAAAAAAAAGAAGAAAAAAAAAGAAAGAAAGAAGGAAAGAAAGAAAGAAAGAAAGAAAGAAAGAAAGAAAGAAAGAAAGAGAAAGAAAGAAAGAAAGAAAGAAAGAAAGAAAGAAAGAAAGAAAGAAAGAAAGAAAGGAAGGAAGGAAGAAAGAAAGGAAGAAAGAAAGGAAGGTCATATCCTATGAAAGAGACATCTTAAAAATGCCTAAAGAAAGATGTCATTTTTTTGTGGTGAAGGGACTGGAGCACATGTTGATGAAAACACCTTGGCAGCTGTGGTGGTCGGTAGTAGCAGTGCCAGTGGGATGATGGGCGTTGTGCCTTCCCCTGATCAGCTGGTCACCTCCCACAGAGGGAGGCCAGACTGTGGCTTAAGCCGTCAGTAGGACATTCCCTGAGGGCTCCAGGACTGTGAGAGGGGACAAGCTGGTCTGAGGGACACCCCTCCAGTGCACAATTTTCGTGCACCAGGCCTCTAGTTTTAAATAAAACTGTACCTACTGTACTTTCAGACTCATTGTCCTATTTTTGTGACAAATGTGAGAATGTGCTGTGTGTGCAGATGTGGTGGACGTCTGGGCAGTTGAACCCAGAAACCATCACATCCTCAGTGAATGGAAACCACAGCAGGAACTTGTCACTTTTCCCTGAAACCCTCACATGAGGATGGAGATAAAACCTGAAGAGCCCAAGGGAGAGATGAGGAGGTGAAGGAGGCAGCAGCAGAGGAGGGAAGAGGAGGAGGGAGGGTGTCACTGAGAGTCTGTGCTGGTTGTGACCAACCTTCTGTGGTTTGATCAGAGAAGAAGAAGGTTGTGTCCATGACCAGGGTGAACACTAACATATCAGATATGACAGGTTAGTAGTAACTCAGGGTTCAACATGTAATTAATGTGTGGGGGAGCATGACTGTCTGGGTGACCATGTGTAGTTGCAGACACAGGATGTGAGCTGATAGGAAAAATATGCTGGTCTCGGTCCCAGGCCCCAGACCCCAGCCTAGGGCTCCTGTAACCTTAGTCACTCACTGGGTGACGGGAGGGCCTTCGTTGATGGGGGGCGCTGGGTGGGCTCCTATGATTGACACCCTGAGTGCAGGCAGCCCTCACCTCAGACCCCAGGGGTTTTGGTCTCACTTCCTCATCGTCTGAGACACTGTGAGCACTGCTATGAGGTGTAGCGCAGTAATAGACAGCCTCGTCCTCAGGCTGCAGCCCCGTGATGGTCAGGAGCCCTGCATTGGCCGAGGCGTCTTTGGATCCAGAGAAGCGGCTGGGGACCCCGGAGCCCTGGCCCTTAATGGAGTCTGTGTGGTAGTAAAGGAGGTACCGGGGAGGGCTCCCTGGCTTCTGCTGGTACCAGGATATGTAGTAGCTGCCAACATTGGAGCCACTGTTCAGGGTGCAGGTGAGTCTGACTGTGGCTCCAGGAGATGCAGAGAGGGAGGGCGGCTGAGTCAGCACAGGCTGGGAGAGGGACCCTGCAGACACAGACGCTTGTCAGTGATGGGCAGAGACCAAGGGACCTTTCCCAGGAGACTGAGCAGGAAGGGAAGAAGCCCGGTCCCAGGCCTGTCCCTACCTGTGCAGTGAGAGAGGAGCACGAGGAGCAGAGGAGTCCAGGCCATGGTGCTCACAGCCCTGAGCCCACAGTGGGGCTGGGCTGCCCAGGCCTCCTTTTCTCCCCACCCTCTGCCAGAGGAGGGGCTGCCATGCAAATGGGGGTCCCTCCAGGGACTGCCCAGCCCCTCCCTGGGCCCTGGGCTGGAGCTCAGCTCACACCCCAGACTGAGGGGCATGGAGGTGGGTTCACCCCTTGGGGGGCCCTGGGAGGATGTACCTGCTGAGAGAGCACATCACTGAGCACAGCGCCCCAGCCACAGGCCCAGTCTGCTGGGATGGATGTGCCCCTATGACCAGCTGTGCAGGAACCACAGGGCGGTCCCACAGCGCCCCCTGCTGGTGGCAGCACACACCTGCCCTTGGCCCAAAGCCCTGAGAGCCCAGCTGCACCTGCAGCTCAGAGGGGACTGTCTCTGGCCACACATCCTGGCCTGGTCCCAGGTCCTGTGACTCTGATGCACTGGAGCCTCCCTGCAGCGCCTCACTCCCAGGAGGAGTCCCGTCTGTGGGAGGAGCCGTCATGGACACAAAGGACAGATTGATTAGGTCTCCCCTCCAGTGAAGATGGTGCAACAGTCAGTGCACAGTGACCCTCATGTCTGATGTCTCAGACCAGGGACACCTTCCTCTGGTTACTGGGACTCACAGAGCTGCTCAGGGAATTTCCCGGGAACACACTCAGGGCCAAGTGCAAAGGAGGACTTTCCACCAGACCTTTCATGTCATGAGATACATGTTCAGGTTCATAGAGATCTGATGCGATTGACTCAGACACATCATGGCTTCTGCAGGCCTCACATTGGCCAGTGGAAGGTGTCACAGCTCATTCATTTCAGGAATTGACTTTTTATCTGCATTTCTGTGTCCTGTGTTTCTTGTAGGATTTTCTTAGTTGTCCTAAAAATTTTTTATATTTAAATAAATCTTTACCTACTGTACTTTCTGACTCATTGTCCTATTTTAGTGACAAATGTGAGATTGGGCTGTGTGTGCAGATTCAGTGAAATTCTGGGCAGTTGACCGCAGAAATCATCACATCCTAACTGAATGGAAACCACAATAGGAAATTGTCACTTTTCTCTGAATCCCTCACATGGGGATGAACCCTGTCCTAGGACCTGAGGAGCCCGAGGGAGAGGAGGAGGTGAGGGAGGCAGCAGCAGAGGAGGGAAGAGGAGGAGGGATGGTGTCCCTGAGAGTCTGTGCTGGTTGTGACCAACCTTCTGTGGGTTTGATCAGAGAAGGAGAAGGTTGTGTCCCTGACCAGGGTGAACACTAACATATCAGACATGATGGGTCAGTAGTGACACAGGGTTCACACACATGACATTAATCTGTGGGGAGCATGGCTGTCTGGGTGACCATGTGCAGGTGCAGACACAGGATGTGAGCTGATAGGAAACACATGCTGGTCTCGGCCCCTGGCCCCGACACAGGCTCCTGAAGCCTTGTCACTCCCTGGGGGGCGGGCGGGCCTCTTGCTGATGAGGGGACGCTGGGTGGGTCCTGGATGTGGTCGGGCCACTGGAGAGGCCGGGGAGGATTAGAAGCTTGGAAGCCTCACACCTACCCCCCATTTGCTTGAAGGGGAGAGGGCTCAGGTGGAGTTTGCAAATTCATGGAACCCAAGGGAGGGATCCTGGGAACCTTTGATTTATAGCGCAGGAGTTGTATGATACTCGGGACCTTCCACCTGTGATGGGCACCTTGTGGAACTGGCCCTTTAACTGTGAGTCCAACACAGTCTCCAGGCAGAGGCTCCCACAGACGCTCCTCCCTGAAGGGAGGCTCAGAGCCACCACCTCTGGGGCCAGGGGTTTTTGTCTCACTTCCTCGTCATCTGAGACACTGTGCATAACGTAGTTGCTCCCACTGCCATGTTCTATAGCACAGAAATACTCAGCCTCGTCCTCAGGCTGCAGCCCTGAGATGAGCAGGAGCCCCGCATTGGCCGAGGCGTCTTTTGATCCAGAGAAGCGGCTGGGGACCCCGAAACCCTGGTTCTTACTTGAGTCTGATTGATATTCCAGGAGAAACCGGGGAGGGCTCCCTGGCTTCTGCTGGGACCAGAGTATCCACTTATCACTAATATCAGAAACACCACTCAGGGTGCAGGTGAGTCTGGCTGTGGCTCCAGGAGATGCAGAGAGGGAGGGCGGCTGAGTCACCACAACCTGTGAGAGGGACCCTGCAGACACAGACACTTGTCAGTGATGGTCAGGGACCGGGGGACGTTTCCCAGGAGACTGAGCAGGAAGGGAAGAAGCCTGGTCCCAGGCCTGTCCCTACCTGTGCAGTGAGAGAGGAGCACGAGGAGCAGAGGAGTCCAGGCCATGGTGCTCACAGCCCTGAGCCCACAGTGGGGCTGGGCTGCCCAGGCCTCCTTTTCTCCCCGACCCTCTGCCAGGGGAGTGGCTGCCATGCAAATGGGGGTCCCTCCAGGGACTGCCCAGTCCCTCCCTGGGCCCTGGGGCTGGAGCTCAGCTCACACCCCAGACTGAGGGGCATGGAGGTGGGCTCACTCCTTGGGGGCCCTGGGAGGAAGCACCTGCTGAGACAGCACATCACTGAGCACAGGGCCCAGCCACAGGCCCCGGCTCCTATTAGTTAAGGTCCTTAATGTGCAGCTACATTCGGACACCAGGGCAGACCCACAGCTCCCCCTACTGGTGGCAGCACACGCCTGCCCTTGGCCCAAAGCCCTGAGAGCCCAGCTGCACCTGCAGCTCAGAGGGGACTGTCTCTGGCCTCACATCCTGGCCTGGTCCCAGGTCCTGTGACTCTGATGCACTGGAGCCTCCCTGCAGCGCCTCACTCCCAGGAGGAGTCCCGTCTGTGGGAGGAGCCATCATGGACACAAAGGACAGATTGATTAGGTTTCCCCTCCAGTGAAGATGGTGCAAAAGTCAGTGCACAGTGACCCTCATGTCTGATGTCTCAGACCAGGGACACCTTCCTCTGGTTACCGGGACTCACAGGGCTGTTCAGGGAATTTCCTGGGAACACACTCAGGGGCAAGTTCAAAGGAGGACGTTCCACCAGACCTTTCATGTCCTGAGTTGCATGTGCAGGTTCGTAGGGATCTGTCCGCAAACCAAGGTACATGCCCCCGTCGGGAATCAAACCTGGGACCCTTCAGTCTGCAGGCCAACGCTCTATCCACTGAGCCTAATCGGTTAGGGCCAAAGAATGTATAGGCCTGGGGTATGACTACCCACCACCAGCCGCTGAGTTGGGTGTTTATGCTCAGATCACCTGGTGAGGTTACTTTTTTCCCATCCACATTTCTCACATTTCTGGGTTTCACATTTCTTGGAGGCTTTTGTTGTGGGGCCACACCATGTTTCTTTGTGGCTGCTCCTCCTCATACAGAAGATGTTGTCCCTGACACCCTGACACCCCTCTTACACCTGCCATGAGTCAGCCCATCCTGGGCAAAGGGTCCTAACAGATCAGCATAATGACCACTTCTAATCCGGTTAGCACAGGCAGCCAGATATTCATAAAGGAAGGGAGCAGAGGGGAGCAGACATCAAGTCTAATAAACCAACGAGCTGAAGGGGACAGAAAGCCTGCGTCACCAGGACGTTGCAGCATTTGAAGGCTCTTCAAGGGACCGCTGCTTTAGGGCCTAATCTCAGAAGTGGGCAGGAGGGTCCTTACAGGTTGTCACCAGGGGAGAAATAAAAACAGGGGGGGAAATGCCTCTGCCAGGCTCACGCCCAGTAGAAACCAAGAGGGCACAGGCGAGGTGCTTCTGCTGGTAGGCATATCGGCAGTGCCCACAGAGGCCTGCCAGCTCTTCCCTCGATTCATCTCTTTCCTTACACCTTTCCCTGCTGTGTCATATCAAGGCAATTTAGATGACTTGTTCCAGAAGAATATGGGGCCTTGGGACCCATGGATTGCATAATTCACTTCACTTTCTTTTTTAAAAAAAATATTTTTAAATTGATCTCAGAGAGGAAGGGAGAGAAAGAAAGAGAGAGAGCTAGAAACATCAATGATGAGAGAGAATCATGGATCGGCTGCCTCCTGCAGGCCCCCTACTGGGGGGTCAAGCCCGCAACCTGGGCACGTGCCCTGCCCGGGAATGGAACCGTGACCTCCTGGCTCATAGGTGGATGCTCAAGCTCTGAGCCGTGCCGGCTGGGCAGTTTCACTTTCGAAGTTGGAACACCTTGGTCAGGAGTCTTATCTGATCCGTAAGGGACTCTTACCCCTGTCCCTGCGGATTCTTTTCTGGCCCTTTCATCTCTGTCCTCCTCCTCCTTGTCCTCTGTCATCGCTCCCTAATCCTCACCCAACCTGGCCTCATCTTACAGACCCTGTCTTTCCACGCAGGGAACACCCCACTCTGCACCTCCAGTTCTCACCCTCATTCCCACACGCCGTCAGACCAGCACTGCCCGCCGGGGGGCCAGGGTCTCGGGGCATCAGAGAAGGTTTAAAGGTCCCGTGCCCAGGAGCCAGTCCTGATAGCGCGCCCCACCTGCTCGAGGCTGATCATTAACCCAGAGCTCATATAAGGAGAGGGCCCCTCCTGGGCATGGGGACAGCACCGCCCGCAGCCATGGCCAGCACCGTGAGCCCCAGCACCGTGACCGGGCCCCCGGGCCCCCCCGAGATGTCAGAGCGCATCCGAAACGCCGCTGACATCTCCGTCATTGTCATCTACTTCGTGGTCGTGATGGCTGTCGGGCTGTGGGTACGTAGGAGCCCAGAGGGGGTTTGGGGTGGGCGCGTGGCTTGGGGTAAAACATCTAAGGGAGGGAAAAGTGACGAAGCTGAGAACATTCACAGCTGTCACCGATGTCATTGTCCTCCTCTCAGAATCATTTTCTTCTTCTTCTTTTTAAATATATTTTTATTGATTTCAGAGAGGAAGGGAGAGGGAGAGTGAGATAGAAACATCGATGATGAGAGAGGATCATGGATTGGCTGCCTCCTGCACACCCCCTACTGGGGATCGAACCCGCAACCCAAGCACGTGCCCTTGACTGGAATTGAACCTGGGACCCTTCAGTCCGAAGGCCAAGGCTTCATCCGCTGAGCAAACCGGCCAGGGTGACATCAATAATGCTGACACTGGCTTACTGTCTTCTCCTAACCACCCCATCCTGTGCACGGGGCCAGCCCTGGGGACTCCAGGCTTCATCTGTTCAGCATCTCCCGCATGTGGCAGATTGAATAAGGGCATTATTTTTTTAATATCTTTTTATTGATTTCAGAGAGGAAGGGAGAGGGAGAGAGAGATAGAAACATCAATGAGGAAAGAGAATCATGGATTGGCTGCCTCCTGCACGCCCCCCTACTGGGGATCGAGCCCACAACCCCGGCATGTGCCCTGACCTGGAATTGAACCGTGACCTCCTGGTTCATAGGTCGACGCTCAACCACTGAGCCACGCTGGCTGAGCAACGTTGTTTTTCTTATCTCACTTCTCTTATTTCCCTTGGTTACTTTCTACCACAGTTGAGTTGGATGCTTAATTCACTGATGCCCCTTTCTTTTGGTAACGGATTGAAGGCTACCGATTTCCTTCCACACACAGCTTCAGAGACACCTCACTCACAGCGTTTTCCTGTTTCGTATTGTGGGCAGTATTACAGCTCTCTCCCCCATTGTCTTCCTAAATGAAACTAACCAGAGCGGTTAGGACGAACGTTGAGGAATATAATCCCTGAAGTCCCCGGGATTCTGGTTTGGTCCTTTAAAAATCGGTGCCACGTCGCAGTCTCCAGGAGAATGTTTCTTCTTCGGAGGAGCTGGAAAGGTTCCGTTTCATCGGCACCGTGACCCGGCCCCGCAGGCACCTTGGTGCGGCGGCTGTGGTCTGACCGCCCCACGTCTTCCCTCCGCGCAGGCCATGCTGAAGACCAACCGGGGCACCGTTGGGGGCTTCTTCCTGGCTGGCCGGGACATGGTCTGGTGGCCGGTGAGTGGACAGAGCTTCCGGGAGATGAACTGTGTGTATGTATGTGTGTGTATGTGTGTGTATGCGTGTATATGCGTGTGTATGTGTGTATGTGTGTATCTGTGTGTATGTGTGTATGCATGTGCATGTGTGTATGTGTGTATCTGTGTGTGCGTGCATGTGTGTGCATGTATGTGTGTGTGTGTATGTGTGTATGTGTGTATCTGTATGTGTGTATGCACGTGTATGTGTGTGTATCTGTGTGTGTGTGTGTGTGTGTGTGTAAGAGTAAAGAAAACATTGGGTGTGCTCATCTTTTTTTTTTCAGAGAGGGAGGGAGAAGAAGGAGAGAGAGAGGGAGAGGGAGAGGGAGAGAAAGAGAAGCATCAATGGTGAGAGAAAATCATTGATCAGCTGCCTCCTGCACGCCCCCTACTGGAGATCAAGCCCACAACCCGGGCATGTGTCTTGACCTCCTGGTTCATAGGTCAATGCTCAACCACTGAGCCACACCCACTGGGCTAGTTTTTTTGTTAACCATTCAGAAACGGAAGAAATACTCTTGGCACACCAACCCTACAGACACCGGGTTCAGCCCACGGGCTGTAGTGGGCTGCCTCCCGGCCTCAGGGGTAGCCACGGGAACATCGCCGCGTGTCCCTGCGGTTCGGAAGCCTGATTGGAGTCTGTTAACTCTGACCCGCGTCTGTGCTCTTGGATTCCAGATGGGCGCCTCCCTCTTCGCCAGCAACATCGGCAGCGGCCACTTCGTGGGGCTGGCGGGCACCGGGGCGGCTTCGGGCATCGCCACCGCAGTCTTTGAGTGGAACGTGAGTGACATCATGGGCGACGACAGTCAGGGAGGACTGGCCGCCTTTTCTTTTCAGACTCCGAGGCCGTGAGACGGCACGGCCCCCGGCCAGGCCTCTCTGACGCCACCGTCTCTGCTTGGCTTCCTGCAGGCCCTGGTGCTGTTGCTGGTGCTCGGCTGGTTCTTTGTCCCCATATACATCAAGGCAGGCGTGAGTACCCGCGGGGCTGTGGGCACGTCTGGTCGGCATCCATTGACACGCTCATTCTCCCTGCTCAGCCGGGAGACCTGGGTGAGACCGTTTGTCCCTGGTCTCTGGGGTTACAATGACCAAGAGCCACTGGGTGCTGCCGGGCTGCTCCTGCGAATGGCTCAGCCACCTGCTCCCAGGCCTTCCCCGCCGTGAGGGTTCCCACTCGCCCACGTCCTCCCCAACTCGGGGCATTTTCCTTCCTCCTGATTCGTGCTATTCTGACACTTGTGAAGCCGTTTCATTTGTGATGAGGGGTAGGATGTACCGCAGCCGTGGTGGCTTCCCTTCTGCCTGCTCTGTCTCTCTGGGCCTTTTTTTGTTTTTTAACATATTTTTATTGACTTCAGAGAGAGGAAGGGAGAGGGAGAGAGAGAGAGAAACATCAATGATGAGAGAGAATCATGGACCGGCTGCCTCCTGCACGCCCCACACTGGGGATCGAGCCCGCAACCCGGGCCTGCGCCCTGACCGGGAATCGAACCAGTGACCTCCTGGTTCCTGGGTCGATGCTCAACCGCTGAGCTGCACCTGGCTAGGCTACAAGTAACGTGTGTTTTTTTTTTATTGTTTTTTTTTAAAACCGATTTATTGCGCGACTAATCACTGAAATCCTTAAGATGAACTGGATGCGGCAACAGCTGCCCTCTTGGGTTTAGGAGTTGTTCCTTCACGGAATCCATAACAAGTAACGTTTTAACTAGACTGCCACAGTTTGGGTGAAAATCCTAAAAATTATCCATTGAGCGTTTGCTGTGCATTTGGCGGTGGCGCGGATATTTTACATCTACCGTCCCATGAAAACCCTACTTTACAGATGAGAAGCGTGGAGTCCAGGGAGAGGGTCACTCGCAAAATGTTACATTTCTAGTCAGTGTGGGCGCTGGGAGCCCGACCCAAGGTTGTCCGATCCCAGCGCCCGTGTCCACCCGGCTTTGCTGCTTTCCCGAGAGACGATGCCTCCCGCCCCTCGGTTTCCCCAGGCGCCCCAGGCCTGCCCGCCCGCGTGCTCGGTGAGCGTGGAGTGACCGGATGAGCTGGGCCAGTGAGCCCCTGCTGTCTCCGCAGGTGATGACCATGCCCGAGTACCTCAAGAAGCGCTTCGGGGGGAAGCGGCTGCAGATCTACCTCTCCGTCCTCTCCCTCTTCATCTGCGTGGCTTTGAGGATCTCGGTGAGTCCGTGCTCCTGGCGTGTTAAGCTTTGCAAGATTGCTTTTAAATAATATATCCTTGTATTGCTTTCTGAGAGGAAGGGAGAGGGAGAGAGAGAGAGACAAGAATGATGAGAGAGAATCATGGATCAGCTGCCTCCTGCATGCCCCACACTGGGGATCGAACCCGCAACCCAGGCTTGTGCCCTTGACCAAGAATCGAACCGGCAGGGGTGCACAGGATGGCACCCAACCAACAGCACCACACCAGCCAGGGCCCTTAATTTTTTTCTTTTTTAATCTAAGGCTGCCCCTACACAATATATTTCACAAATACGTGTTGAAAGAACTCTAAAGTTGTGTGTGTGTGTGTGTGTGTGTGTGTGTGTGTGTGAGTGGTTTTTTTTAAAATTAAATTCCTTGGAGATAATCGTGGAGGAAAGCAGAGAGGAGTTTGAAGAGTCAGCAGCACGTGTAGAAAACACAGAGTAACGGCTTGCTGCTGGCACATCAGTGACTCATGAGGTTATGGCCCGGGGTGCAGAGTCTGGGCCGCTCCTCAGGGCGGAAGCTGACTCCCGATCGCTCTGCTGTTGAGCGGAGTCGTGGCTGGAAGTGAGCCAGCTGCTCGGATGAGGGGCTGAGCCCGCCTGGCGCAGCGTGAGCATCTCCCAGCGCTTCCTGTGCCTGTGGCGCTCCGTGCCCGGGGGAGCGAGGATCCCTGTGCGCTCGGAGTCCACCACATGGTTAAGGAGTTAAGAATTTAACCAGAGCCAGAGCCAGTGTGGCTCATCGGCCCGTGGACCACAGGGTCCCAGGTTCGAATCCAGTCAAGGGCACGTACCTCAGTTGCAGGCTCCTTCCCTGGCCCCGGTTGGGGCATGTACAGGAGGCACCTAATCGATGTGTGTGTCTCTCTCTGTGTCTCTCCCCCTCCCTTCTGCTCTCTCCTAAAAAATCAATGGAAAGCCCTGCCCGGTTGGGCTCAGTGCATAGAACATATCCTGTGACTGAAGGGTCCCAGGTTCGATCCCCAGTCAGGGCACATGCCTGGGTTGCAGGCTCGATCCCCAATAGGGGGCATGCAGGAGACAGCCAATCAATGATTCTCTCTCATCATTGATGTTTCTCTCTCTCTCTCCCTCTCTGAAATCAATAAAAAAATATTTTTAAAAATAAAATAAAAAATAAAAATTAATAGAAAAATATCCTTCGGTGGGGATTAACATAAAAAACACACTTAAATAAAAACAATTTAACCATAAGATTGTCAGTACTTTATGACAATGGCTGCAGATATAGTCAGTGTGAGCTTGAGTGGAGTGTGTGGACAAGCACAGAAGACATGCTGTGGATGCCCAGGAAAGCGGGTGGGAATGGAAGTCTCCGCTTAGGGTGTTGGGGGATTACACAACCCCCAGGCCAGGAAAGAGGAGGGGCCAGGGAAGCGAGGGGCTCGCCATGTTCCCCAGGTGGGCGGGGCTCAGTGACCTCCCAGGTCTCCCCTGCCTCTGACCTCTACAGCTTTGCGGTCCTCCAGGGCATGAACCAGGCACTGGGGCAGAATGCAAGTGGCCAAAGGGGCTCACGGGATGCAGCCTCCGGTGGCAGAAGGATCCGGTTGTGGGGGGAGGTGGGCGGGGGTGTGATGGAATGATGGGAGCTGAATGGAGGAGCAGGAAGTTCAAGGGCATGTGTGTGACTGACTGTGCAGGGTCTGTGGTCGGCTGAGAAGGTACAGTAGCAGGAGTCCATCCTTACCTACAAGGTCATGTTTTAAGTGCTATTAATAATGATTAATCTTGCGCACAACCTTCTGTGCACTCTTGCTATTGCACTCTGATAACAGATTGGGTCCTGGTTACTGGTTAAACCGATCACGATGAGAGAGAGCCATGGAGTGAGGACAGGACAGCCTCCCCAGTCCTCCTGCCCCAGGTTTCATTTCAAATCTTAGAGAGGAAAACATCTCCCATCTCCTGTGACACCCCTCCGAACCCGGGTTCTCCAAAGGAACCTGCCTCTAACGCTTTGGATCCTGAATCCTGCCCCCGTATCCCTTCCCCTCACTCGAAACCAAAACATAACAAAAACATGGGGAATGGCATGTAAGCATGTTAGTTAGTAACACAGAAGAAACATCCCTAGGTGCGGGCACAGAGTAAGTGGGAAACTGGATTTAGCCAGGGTTGGAGTTGGGCTAGAGGAGTTCAACAGAAGGAGAGATAGGCAAAGAGATTGAAGCTAAGGGCCCGGCCAGTGTGGCTCAGTGGTTGAGTGTCGACCTATGAACCAGGAGGTCATGGTTCGGTTCCCGGACAAGGCACATGCCCTGGTTGCGGGCTCAATCCACAGTGTGGGGCGTGCAGGAGGCAGCCGATCAGTGATTCTCTCTCATCGTTGATGCTTCTATCTCTCTCTCCCTCTCCCTTCCTCTCTGAGGTCAATAAAAATAAACTTTAAAAAAAGAGAGAGAGATTGGGGCTATGGGCTGATGGCCCTGCCTGTCCATTGTAGTCAGACATATTCTCCGGAGCCATATTCATCAAGCTGGCCCTGGGGCTGGACCTCTACCTGGCGATCTTCATCCTCTTGGCCATCACCGCCATCTACACGATCACTGGTGAGTCCTCTGCGTGCTTAGCTCGGCCAGGCTACCTTCTGCTCATGTCACCTGAGCGTTAGCCTTGTCGTTGCCAAGGTAAGGCTACCCCTTTATTCCGCTCAGAGTCAGGCGCAGCCTAGAAACACAGCCAGAGCATAGGAAAGCGGGTCCTTGGTGTTAGTTATGATCATCTTGATCCAGGTTAACGATGTGATGGGTGGGACAGGGAGACGCTATTTGGGCTCGACATTGCTGCAAAACGCAGGTCAACTGTAATACACGGTATTCCACTAAGGAAACAATGGTATGTTCCAACGCTGGAACAGAAATGGCTTCGCCCAGCTCTTTAGAGCAGGTATCCTGCGCTAAATAGAGTGAATTGAGGGGTTGTTATGGGAGATTTTCATGATATTATAACATGGCCTTTCCCCCTACTTAATATTCAAAAGCGCACACAGAGGTAGAACTCTACCGTAATTCATAGAAACGTTGAGTGGAGGCAAGGCGAGGAAGACAGGACCAATGAGAGACACACCTTCCAAGGAGATGATGATGCCACCAGGAGCTTCCGATCTGTTTTCTGCTGAGTCATTTCCGGGGTTTGGGTAGAAGAGAACCTAAAGGTGAAGGCGAGTAGGGGAGAGCATCTGAGTCAAACATCCTGGCTCTTTCCTTCTCTCCACAGGGGGCTTGGCCTCGGTTATTTACACCGACACCCTCCAGACCATCATCATGCTGATCGGCTCGTTCATCCTCATGGGGTTTGGTAAGCGATGGCCGTGTGAACGGGGCCGTGGGGTGGAAGTCATGGGGCTGTGGATCCCGAGAGAAGGGTCCTGAGAATACGACCAGGCCGATGGGAGGTGCCGGAGTGCCTCCCACCACGGAGGGGTCGTTAGGGAAATGGGTGTCTCACGTTTCTGTGGAACACTGTCTTGTATCCGATGCCGCTGCAGCATTTGCCGAAGTCGGAGGCTATGAGAGTTTTACGGAGAAGTATATGAACGCCATCCCGTCCATAGTCGAAGGGGACAACCTGACAATTAGCCCCGCGTGCTACACTCCTCGGCCAGACTCCTTCCACATTTTCCGAGACGCTGTCACCGGGGACATTCCGTGGCCGGGAATGATCATAGGAATGACCATCGTGGCTGCGTGGTACTGGTGCACAGATCAGGTAAAGCGTGTGCGTGTGCATGTGCTTGTGTGTGTGTGTACGCGACTGAGTGTGTGTGTGAGTGTGTGTGTGAATGTGTGTGACTGAGTGTGTGTGACTGAGTGTGTTTGCATGTGGGTGTGCATGTGTGTGTGTGTGTGTGAGTGTATGTGTGAATACCTTTATGTTGTTCTTTTTCTTCTCCTAGAAAATCATCTAGTTTCACCATTTAAAAAGTCAAACACTTTGCCCTGGCCGGTTTGGTTCAGTGGATAGAGATCAGCCTGCAGACTGAAGGGTCCCGGGTTCGGTTCCGGATCAGAGCACATGCCTGGGTTGCAGGCTCGATCCCCAGTAGGGGGCATGCAGGAGGCAGCTGATCAGTGATTCTCTCTCATCATTGATGTTTCTCTCTCTTCCTCTCTGTAGTCAATATCAATATACTTTTTTACAAAAAGAAAGAAAGAACCCTATTTACAGATGAGAAACCTGAAACTCACAGAAGTCAAATGCTCAGGTGGGAGGAGCAGGGATCCAAATCCGGATTTTCCTCCGAAGCTCATTCTTCTCTCGTCACCGTCCCACTTCTCATTGGCACGCCAGTCCCCGAGGAGGCGCTCCCCTCCCGTGACGCGTCCTCCGGCTGCCCCATGACGAGGCGTGTTCTCCTGGCAGGTCATCGTGCAGCGCTGCCTCTCCGGCAAGGACATGTCCCACGTGAAGGCCGCCTGCATCATGTGCGGGTACCTGAAGCTGCTGCCCATGTTCCTCATGGTGATGCCAGGAATGATCAGCCGCATCCTGTACACAGGCAAGTCCCGAGCCATAAGTTCCCATCATTTATGCTTGAATTACGAATCCTGGTTTTAAGATGTTTTAAGTCAGCTAAGAGTAACTACTAATGTTGAAAATCTCCCTTAAAAATCTTTATTATGCCCTTGCCGGTGTGGCTCAGCGGATAGAGCGCTGGCCTGCAGACCAAAGGGTCCCGGGTTTGATCCTGGTCAAGGGCATGTATTTTGGTTGCAGGCTCCTCCCCAGCCCGGGCCCTGGTCGGGCACATGCAGGAGGCAACCCATCGATGTGTTTCTCTCACATTGATGTTTCTCTCTGTCTTTCCCTCTATCTTCCACGCTCCCTAAAAATCAATGGGAAAATATCCTTCAGTGAGGATTAACAAAAATAAATTAATTAATTAATTAAAAAAAATAAACTGCCAACTTTTTTTTAAAAAAATGTATTATGAGGAGTGAGGAAACATAGAATATTTCTTGCCTAATCCAAGACCACTGGTGTTTATGGAGGCAGTCCATCAGATAGCACTAACCTCACTTCATGTTTCCTCAACTGGGCCTGGAGAAAACGTGTTTATTTACCTGAACACCTGTTAAGAGGAGCATCAAGTGAGCAACATTCCTGCATATTGCAACATTATGGTGTTGTCTATAGCAACAAAGAACGGATAGATATCCAGGGAGTAGCCAAAGATAGGATTGTTCACTATCTCATGCTGACATCATCATCTTGGATGTAAACAGCAGACTATAAAATATCACCGCAACAATGACCGTAGTTGTGCCATAAACACATTTCTCTCTCCAGAAAAGGTTTAGAAAGGAATCATAAACTAAGAGAAGCTCGTGTGCGAAGGTGTTAGTATTCTGGGTGACTTTTTATATCCCATTTTTCTATCTGTTTTCATAATGTCATTTTATCTAAAATATCAGCAAGGTATTGTGCAACTGCCACAGTGAATGAGGCATCATCCCACCAGGGGCAGTCACCCCAACATCACACGCGGCACCTCCTCTTAGATGTGGGAGAAAGACACTGGCTGAATGATGGCACACAGGACCAGCTGCCTGAGTGCTGTGTTGCTGCTGTTTGATCTGTGGAGTTCTGTGCTCCTGGGAGGACGTATGCTCTTGCAGCTTTCCTGGAGGGGGAATCGCTCCCTCTAATGCTCTAGCTGGGCCACCTCCCAAGGCAGAGCCTGCCCCACAGGCCAGTGCCAGGGGAGCTACAGCTGTGACACTTGGAAAGGTGTATTCTAGCCAAAGAGGAAGCAGATCGATTGCAGGCAGTTCAAAGTTGAGCCTCAATTTCCAGGCAAACATCTTTCCTCTAACTCATGACCTTACCACTTGTCTCTGCGGCCAATGGTTGTAGGTCTTACCTGTTTGGGCCCCACTCACTGAACCCACTTATCTGACTTCCTCTTCAGAGAAGGTGGCCTGTGTTGTCCCCTCTGAGTGTGTGAAACACTGTGGCACGGAAGTCGGCTGCACTAACTACGCCTACCCAATGCTGGTGATGGAGCTGATGCCTGACGGTAAGAAAATGTCCTGCTCAGGTAAACGGGTAAAGAAAGTGTGATGAGCCCTGGCCGGTGTTTCTCAATGGTTAGAGCATCGGCCTATGAACCAGAGGGTCTAGGTTTGAGTTCCAGTTTAGGACCTGTACCTGGGTTGCAGGTTCCATCCCCACCCCCAGTCACTGCTCACAGTGAGGGTGGGAGGCAACCAATCGATGTGTCTCTCTCAAAGACAAATACTGCATAATGTCACTTATATGTGGAATCTAAAGAAACAGAGAAGTAGAATGGTGGTTGCCAGGGGATGGGGAATGGGGAAATAGGAATATATTGGTGAAAGGGTACACACGTTCAGTTATAATATGGATAAGTTCTGGAGACCACAGCATAAAGACTACAGTTAATAATAATGTCTTGTGTACTTGAAATTTACTAAGAAAATAGATCTCAAGTATTCTCACAACAAAACAAGATATTAGTTACTATGTGATGTGATGACTGGGTTAATTAGCTTGATTGTGGTAACCATTCACATGATGTATCTATCAAAACATCATGTCGCACACCTTAAATACATGCAATTTTTACTTGTCAATAATTCTGAGAATCACCCGGAAATATGCAGAAAATGCTACAGGATGGCATGTATTCATGGGCACATCAGTTAGTAAACAGTCCGCGTGACATTTTACCTTTGAATGGCCCTCTGGTTGGCAAGGTGATCACAGCTCACGGTGTCCAGTTCCTAACTCGTGGTTGCCTCCTCTTCCGGCCGCAGGGCTGCGAGGCCTGATGCTGTCAGTCATGTTGGCGTCTCTCATGAGCTCCCTGACCTCCATCTTCAACAGCGCCAGCACCCTCTTCACCATGGACCTCTACACGAAGATCCGGAAGCAGGCCTCAGAGAGAGAGCTCCTGATCGCTGGGCGGTGAGAGAACCCTGGTTTCTGTCTTAAATTTCTCTGCAAAGGTAGAGACATCGAAGTGAAATAGAGCCTCCTCATTTGGGGGTTCAGAGAAACTACTCATAGAGTTCTGAAGTGGGTAAAGGAACATTAGAGGATATTTAACCCAACTCTATCTCTTTCTAGATACGAAATTTGGGGCCATACGTACCAAGGAAATAGTTTCTTTTTTTTAAATATATTTTATTGATTTTTAACAGAGAGGAAGGGAGAGGGATAGAGAGGTAGAAACATCCATGAGAGAGAAACATCGATCAGCTACCTCCTGCACACCACCTACTGGGGATGTGCCCACAACCAAGGTACATGCCCTTGACCGGAATCGAACTGGGACCCTTCAGTCCACAGGCCAACGCTCTATCCACTGAGCCAAACTGGATAGGGCAAGGAAATAGTTTCTTTTTCAGATTTCCAAATGCCTCTGATTGTCTCTTTATTCTTCCCCTCACACCACTCCCAACCACATCTTCATGAAATCCCATCAATGTCTTTCATGGGGCCTAAAGTTTCCATCTACTCTCACAGGTTAAGGCATCATCCCTAGAAGTTTCCATGCATATCACAGGCAGGAAGTAACAGATGAGGGACCTCCACACGCTACCACAGATGAGTTTACCAACTGCATTCATTAAAAACGGGGAGTCAAGAGAAACTAACCACCTCTTTAAAAGATGGTGCATTGCTGAAGACAGTAACAATCGCTTTGGTAAATGATGTACTTGGAGAAATTCTGAGGGCTTGGTTGGTCCAGATCGTGACTCTGGATAAATGCTACAGGAGAGGAAGACCATAGGCCTCTGGGTTTCTGTGGTAGAAAAGTGTTGGGCTAGAATTCAGTAGGTCCAAGATGCAGTAGTCTACTGATGGGTCAACGATCTTGGCTATGAGTCCTCTCTAAGTCTCAATGATCAGTTAATGAGTTTCTCTTTTCCTCTCTTTCTTATTAAATGCCTACTATCACCCGGAATACAAATATGAAAAAAATGGCATAGATATGAAAAATAAGTTCATGCTTCATGGGATTTATGCCTTGGTGGGGAAGATAGATCATAAATATATTCTATATCTGGTGACAAAAAATGCTAGGAAGATGCCCAGCCGGCGTGGCTCAGTGGTTGAGCATCCACCTATGAACCAGGAAGTCACAGGTTTGATTCCCGGTCAGGGCACATGCCCAGGTTGTGGGCTCCATCCCAGTGGAGGGCGTGCAGGAGGTAGTCGATCAATGGTTCTCTCTCATCATTGATGTCTCTCTCTCTCTCTCTCTCTCTCTCTCTCTCTCCCTTTTCCTTCCTCTCTGAAATCAATAAAAATATATTTTAAAAAACGCTAGGAAGAAAATTAGAGCAGGATTAAAGGACGGGGACTAACTTAACACGGTGCTCAGGGGGTCCTCACGGAAGAAGTGGCATTTGAGCAGAGCCCTGGGGAGAGTGTGGGGGGAGCCCCGAGGCTCCGTGTGGAGGAGCAGTCAGTGCTGCCTGCAGTCCTCCACAGTCACGTGTGGGGGGTGTGTGAGGACAGCAAGAGGTGAGGCTGGCCCGTGAGAGCGATAGGAAACAAAATCAGAAAGGTGGGGGTCGGGAGATCACGCAGGGCTGTTCCGGCCATAAGAGGACTTTGGATTTTATTCTGCGTGTGACAGCAAACAGCTGAAAACAGCTGAAGATAAGAGAGAGCACAGGACACACACCATTTGCTTTCGGATGATGATGACAATGACGATAGGAGGTGTTATTTCTTGAATCTTTACTGTGTTCTGGACCCTGTGCTCCGACCGCCCGTGGTTTATCACGCTTAGTCATTGCAAGGTTGCAGAAGTTTTGTAGAGCTTAAATGAGGCCCTGTGCCTCAGTCCACCGGTTTCCCCAACTCCCACCTTTCTGTTTCCGGTGAGCACAGACAAGCCATGGCCTTTTACAGAGAGTCCCGTAAATTATTATTATCTGTTTATTCATATCACAAGCACAGAAGAATATTGCAAAGTTTTAAAAAGTGAACCTATTTGGTTTTGCTCCTGACTCCCAGGAGCAAAACCGAATAGATTTTTGCTGCATCTCAATATTTTGACCAATTCCTTCTACCTGCCAAAGTACTCAAGCAGCAAAAACACACAAATTAGCATTTCTGGCCAGTTCATTCAGCATTCTGGGACAGAGGATATTTTAATTCTAAAGCATCCTGACTCAGTTTCTCTCAGCTAGGAAAAAAGACCAAAACAAGAGTCTGCTTTCTGTGTCCTACAAATGATTACTTAGACTTAGTGCTGTGTGTTTCTTTTCCTAATTGCTACAGTGCATGAACTGCATTAGAGAATTATTAACCGAACGCTGACATTGGAACTGTTTTTATAAACGAATACTTAATCTCATCATTGAAGCTATTATGACTGATTGTAGAATAGCAATTGCTTTATTGGCATTTTACTCACAGATAGTCCTACGCAATGGCCTGGCATGAAATTTCAAGGAGCTTGAATTTCTTTGGGGGGAAAAAAATGAATGGCCCCAAGAATGCATTCAAGAACTCAAGCACAGTGGACGTACCAGTGATGCTTCCGCTTAATCATCCCTTCCTTTTGTTTGCTTCCCAGGCTGTTCATCATCCTGTTAATTATCATCAGCATTTTGTGGGTCCCGTTGGTACAAGTGTCTCAAAACGGACAGCTGTTTCATTACATAGAATCCATCTCTAGCTACCTGGGGCCACCCATAGCTGCTGTCTTCCTGCTCGCCATCTTCTGCAAGCGAGTCAATGAACAGGTGAGTGGAAGTGCGGGGACTTCTTTTCCTGCTGGAGTGGGGAAAGACGTCTTTCTTTCGCTGGGAGGAAAATGCATCCTTTCCACCCAATTCATACAACTCAAGGCCCGTCGACTCTGCAACTTGTGTCACATAAGTCAGAGTTCTGTTCATGCTACAAAATCAGTCACAAGTGTTTGAATCTATGTACAACAGAAAAGTCACGGTAAACCTAAGCTTGGGTCAAAGTAGACCGAACAAGTTTCCCCCGCTACCCGTAAGCCGAAATGGCATAAAGTGAAGAGGCATGTACCCTTGATTTATATGGAAATTTTTTGAGCATTTCAGACCCCCCAAAAATATCCTCTCTTATGCTTTTTTAAAAAGCTTTCTAAATATATATATATATATATATATATATATATATATATATATATTATTGATTTCAGAGAGAAAGGGAGTGGGAGAGAGAAAAGAGAAAAACATCAATGATGAAAGAGAATCATTGATCAGCTGCCTCCTGCCCCCGACTGGGGATCGAGTCCACAACCCGGGCCTGTGCCCTTGATCAGAATCAAACCCAGGACCCTTCAGTCTGCAGGCCGACACTCTATCCACTGAGCCACACCAGCCAGGGGCCCTACCTCTCTTAGGCTTTTGATACATTAGGACACATCTTGCTAACGGACTCACAGAACACATCAAGATGAAGCAGAGATGCTCACAGGCACAGCGCAAAGCTAGGCGGCCTGACGCTGAGCTGCTGGGTGTGGTTCCGGGAGAGGAGCTTGGCGGGGTCACTCTCATGGCTCTCCTGCATTTTGCCTCTTTTCGACTTTTTTCATAAAAGTAAAAACCCTCTTGGAATTCCTTTCGTTCAGCGAAAACAGGTACTAAGGTAGGTCTTTCGCGAAAGCAAAGTGGAGAATGAACAGTGCCATCATGGTGTTTCAAGGCCACGGAGGGAAACAGGCCACTAGCAACCACACGCAATGGCATCTTTCCCTGCTTCGGTGGCCTTGCCCTCAAGGTTAGCCATGGATTG